GTGGCTGAGCCAGAAACGATTGTTTCCCAGATTGGCGAAACGGAGATAGTAGAACAGTGTATCATCAATAAAGACCAAGAAGATGATGAGATGATGGTCGAAGTTGAGGATGAAGCGGTGAAGGAAACTATCGCTGAGCCAAAAATCGCCGAACAGAAGACTGATGAGCCACAACTTGAAAAAAGTAAAAGTGTTGAACTATCGACGGCGGAGCCAATGTCTGTTGAATCGGATACACTTGAGCAGAATAGCTTTGAAGCAACACCTACAGAATCGGACGTAAATAACCAGAGTGCAGCAAAAGAAAATGAAGAAGCGATGGATGCGGTAGAAGAGGAGCCACACGATGAAACAATCGACGTTGAGTCAACATCCGTGGAACAGAAGGCCGATGATCCAAAGCTTGAAGAAAAGAAGATTGTTGAAGTACCGACTAAGCCAATGTCTCTTGAATCGGATACAATTGAGTCTGAGAGCTTCGAGGCAACAACTGTAGAATCGAATGTTATTGAGCAGGCGGAAGCAGGAGAAAATCAGGTAGTCGAAGGTGAAGATGGAGAGATGACGGGAACTGTCGATGAGCAAAAAATTGTCGAACAGAAGACCGATGAGCCACAAAGTGAAGAAAATAAGATTGTCAAACTACCAACGGCGGAGCCAATGTCTGTTGAATCGGATCCAATTGAACCAAAAATCTGCAAGGCAACGCTTGCAGAATCGACTGTAGCTGAGCCGACCGAAGCAATACCAGACATTGAAAAAAACGATGTTGAGGCGACATCCGTGGAACTGAAGACCGACGAAAACAATCCGGTGGTGAATCAGGAGGAAGCGATGATTGTTGAGCCTACCATGGAGGAACAACGAGTGGTTAAAGAAAAGCCGATTGAACCGATGGATCTGAGCCAGGGGCATGTGGAGAATGAGACGGTCGCATCAAATTCAGAAGACCAAGAGAAAGTTGGCCAGGAGAAGCTCGAGCAGGAGAAAGAAGCTCATATGGAAACAGATGTCATTGAGCCGATATCCGTGGAACAGAAGATCGACGAAAAAAATCCGGTGGTCAATGAGGAGGAGGAGCCTAGGATTGTAGAACAACAAGTGGTTCAAAAAAAGCCGATTGAACCGACAGAGTTAGACCAAAAGATTATGAAGAAACAGACAGCTGCATCAGAGTCGAAGGAGCAAGAGAAAGTTGGTCAAAAGAAACTAGATCAAGAAAAAGATCAGAAGAGGGCCGATGGAAAGGTAAATAAAATAATTTCATTTTGACTGTTCCTTGTGTGTAAATCACAAAATTCTTTTCCCAACAATAATTTTTTCAGAAAAGGGAAGAAGTGAAAGAGAGCTTGAAATCTGAACAGTTTGAATCCCCGAATCGAAAGTTGGTGAAGGGAACGAAGAAAGAAACCGAGACAGATTCTGGATCAACCTCAAGTGTATCAGCAGCGGAGGTTCGTTACCAAAAAAACGGGACAGGTTTAAAAAGTACGATTTTTGTGTGGATTTGCTCGGGTTGCTGTGGAAATCTTAAGTAATTAAAACATTCATTATATAATATGTTTCAAAAATTGGGCTGTTTTTAGGTATTTTATGTAATTTTGAAAAAAAAACTACAAATTTTAGAGTGAAGATGTTTGTATCAAAGAAATTGAATGACAGTTTTGTTCACATTTTATGAACACAAACTTAGCCAAAAAATCGAAACAATTTTTTCTTTGCAATAATTTCAAGTCACTTTTCTTAGCGTCATTAAAAGACGTAGAACGATTTCAGAGCCAGGTGTTTTCTACAGTAGAGTAATTTTAAAACATTTTTGCCGAAACTTTTCTACCAACCTAATTAGACGATTTCCATGAATCATCAAAAATTGTGCTTTTTAAATTTTTCTGTTCTTAATGTTTGAACATGGAGAACATTGTTTTCAGAAATGTTCGAAAACCGAAAGCACTAATCTTCTGGAAGCTTGTTTTCAAGTAAAAACATAAATATTCTAAATTCAATGTTCTCTTTTTCTGGTTGCTTCATTTTTTCTAGACTTGTTACTCATGTAAACCTATTTTCAGAAAAAGAAAGACAACCTGAAGGAACAGGGGATTTCGAAAAGGAAGTATAAGCTCCCCGCAGCTTATGCTAATTACGATGGGCGTTCAAAGCACCGACGATCCAGCTCGTCATCCTCATCGGATGATTCCAAAACCGATTATGGCGAGTTCGATGAGAGTAGAAAATTTGGCTCATCCTATTCTAATCCATCAACATCTTCCTCATCTTTTTCTCCAAAAGATGAAAATCGAAGAAAATTCAAGGAGGAAAGGAAATCTGAAGGAGAGAATCGAAGAGATGACCATAGAAGGAAAAGTAGTAAGAGAGATGAAGAGAAAAGTAGAGATGAAGAAGAAAGGAGGAAGCAATCAAATAGAGATAGGGAGAGAAGGAAGGAGCGATCTTCAAGAACATCTGATCGACGATATGAACATGGTTATGGATACGGTCATGGAAACAGTCGTGGGCACGAGTCGGAGAGATCCAGTAGATGGGGATCTCCACGGAAGCGTTCTCCCGGGAGACGTCAGAAATCTCCCCCAAGAGGTCGTCCTCGAGAGCGTGCTAAAAGTATGCAGCCTACGGATCGAAAACCTCACGTAATCGAACTCTCCAACTTTCAAGCCATTGGGCAGAATGGACAAGGTGGATACATTGTTAACTTCCAGGAGTTAAGAAACAGAGAAGTACAGATGCATAAAGATAGAATGAAGAGAGCAATGCTTGAAGAAGAAAAGCGTCAGGAAAGGAGAATGCGTCGTCAACAAGAAAGACGCTGTGAAGATCGAATGCGTCGACGTGAACACCATCAACGACGTCGCCATTCTCACTCCAATGATAGCCAAAGAAACTCTCGTCAAGAAAGACCACCACCAATGAGCTGTGAATGTCCAGCAACTCGTGAGCAAAACGGTGAAAGGTCTCAGAGCACAACTCCGCCTCTGAACGTACAAATGCGCATAAATCCTCCACCAGAGTTCTCTCAACGTCGCCAATCTCCGAATCGTCAATTCCATCGTAATCGATCGCCACGTCACAACAACTCACGACGATTCAACCCGATGAATCAACAACGACAACAATTCAATCAACGTCGTCCGCAACGTATGCGTTCTCCTCAGCACGCCTCCTCATCCCGGGATTTGCCATCCGGAAATAACCAAGCTGTGCAAGGAGAACAGGCACAAGATCCAGACGCACCCAAACGAATTGCCCCAGCGGTGCAACCTCCGCGACAACATTACAATCAAGGTGGACGTGGATATCGACAACAGAACGGTCGTGGACGTCCACAAAATCACCATGGCTCCAACCGAGACTCCGTCCGAAACATTCCTATCAGAGACCGAATAGAATGGCATCCTAAGTAAGTCAAACATTTTCATTTTGACTATCATTATGGATATTGAACTTTAGAAGTTAGAAAAAAAAATCAGAAACCGGTTTAGACTAATAAAAAAAACCTCGGAAATTATCGTAAATCCTGTATTAGAAGAGCCAGTTCTTTTATTGCAGGTATTTCGAGAGGTTATTCTATCACAGGGGCCTGTCGATCAGAGAAGTCCCTTGAAGGGATGTTCCAATCGAAATTTCGCTTTCCTATTACCAACAGTTTTTGAGAACCAAAAAATAGAAGCAATTCCGCTGGAAACTCCCAAGAAAACTTTTTCTGTGCGCCCTTTGACATACCGTAGTTCGAAAAGTTTGAATGGAGAGAAAAATGATTTGTAGGTTTCCTGGTCGGCATTTCATTCAGGTAAAACTCCTACGGAAATACTTCGACCGGAATTTCATTTTTTTTATCTCGAAATTTTCAAAATTCCACAATAATCATTTTTTTCCCAATATTTTTCATCAAAAAAATTTGATAAGTTCTAGTTTAAAATTTGTGAAAAGGCTCTTCTATTTTTCCAAGCCTTCTCGGAGGGCTTTTATATTAGAGGGGTCTTCTGATGCAGGTTTTATGATAAAAACATAATTATTTCAAACCGTATTCTGATATTTCCAGCCGAGGCCAGCCAAGCCGAAACAACGGAAGACGATAAAACTGTATTCAATTTCGTTATCTTCAGTTACATTCGTACTCCTCATTCCATTTAATTCTTTTTTTTTTCACTAACTTTTTACTAGTATCAATTTTTCCTCATATGAACTTTTTTTTCTATTTTCTATTCAAAATAATCGCGCGAGTGAACGAGTAAAAATGTCTGCGTCTATACAGCGCCTCTACAGGTTTGGAGACTCTCTACACGTTTTTTTACTCGTTCACCCGCGCGATTATTTTGAATAGACAATATCAATAGACTTTTTTTTACTCCAACTTGCCTTTTGTCTTTGTGAATCTCTTTTTCATCTCCTAAATTCTACATGTCTAGTAATTTTCTAGAATACATTCCCACCAACATTTCCATTCACATGGTAAAATTTTAGTTTTAAATGTTCGATTGATCTCTAAAAACCCTTTTCTGATTTCCCCTGAAGCATTTTTTAAAGTGTATTTTTGATGTTTCTTCGCTTTTTTCGAAGAATCAAAGTTCCCTGCTTTGTTTCGGTTTTTTGTCACTTTGTCCAGCTTCCATTGTGCATCAATCTCCCTTTTTTTAAAAGGCAAGTCCCCAAATCCCAAGTCAACCCGTTTCTACACCCACTCGGTAATTTTTGTTTTGTCCCAGTTTTCTGTCCCTCTCGAGTTGTTTTTTCTCTCAACTTTTTTATATCTGTTGCTATCCCACACTGTCTATAAACTCAACGAAGTTAACCCAAACACATATTTTGCCAAGTCATTAATAAAAACTATTTATTTTGAATATTTATTTCACAAGTGACAAATTTTCAGAATTATCATATTTTTTAAGACCTCATCCATAGGGGATTCAATTTCTATCAAAATACTTTTTAATGGGAAGCTATCGGGCTGGATCCATTTACGGAGAACTCCATATGTTTTCTCAATATCATCCCTCAAACCGGAGCCACTTGCTTGGTCCTTGCCATGGAAGTCCACGAATAACATCCAGGTTCCTGACGCTCAGAGTCTCCACGAAGTGGGTCATCTTTCTTCCCAGAAGCTTCGACAGTCGTTTCATATGGATCTGTCGGTCTTGATGATTGGGCAGATCTTCTCTCCATTGATGAACAACTGATCCGCATTGAACTTCAGCAGTGTCATTCGAAACAGAGTGTCGTTGGTGAGAAGTTGGTAGCGAAGTCTGGAAAAGTATGAGATTATTTTTTTGAAAATAATAATTTTTCAGCATGCGCATTTTTTCCGGAAAAAAGAAATTCTGTCTATGAAGATGGGATAATATGAGTTTAATGCTAATACAGCGCGGTCAATATCATTAAGACCCCACTTAATTTTGGGCGCACAGAAAAATGAGAAGAGATATAAAAAAAACTGTAAACGCCATTCGGTTCACGATTAAAAATAACTTCTAGGGACAAAGAAAGTTTCATGAATTTAGCACTATTTCATGAGTTTAGCACTATCCCTGTCCGTGTACCATCCAGAAACCCTTATGCAAGCGGTCAATATCTTCTAAAGTTTGAAGGTCTAACTTCATTTTCAAAATTCTGAATACATCTAAAATTTTAGAGTTTTCGAATTACGATTTTCGGTAATTAGAATTCTTGAGTAAGATTTGAGTATTTGTCTTCAAACTCAAAGATTTAAATTCAAATTTTCAGAAAAAGGAAATTTCAAAACTTTATTTTAATTTCGAAGTTAATATTAGGTTGGCTAAAAAATATTGGTTGTTTTTATGATCAATTGAATTTTTTATAAAAAAGGAAGTAGACAAGATTAACTCAAAAGCTATTTGCCATAATTATCAACCACTTGTAGCCAGCAAAGAATGGGGTCCGCTGTGAAAGAACCCCACTGGCTGCGACCCAAAGTAGCCCATTTTTCGGTCTCAACGCGGCTTTTGAAGTGTTTCTCGGCTAATGAGGGTCGCATTGATATGAATTACTGGAAATCTGAAAGTGCCGAATCAGGGCTACTTGGCGGATGAGGGAGAACTTCCCAGCCCATTTCCTCGATTTTCTGCTGAGTGACTTTTACCATGAAGGAATTTTGTCGTTGGTGTATTCACACCTTGACGTCTCAACGCTTGCTGCATTTGGCCCAATTATCATTGATAGAGTTCAGTAGTGGCTGTTAGACCTTTTTCCAGAACTTCAAAACATACAAGACCCTTGCTCTTCCACCATACACATAGCATTACTTTCTTTCCGTATATCTCTCATTTCGAGTTGTTTTGGCCGATTCTCCAAGGGACAACCGTTGTCTATTCTGAGTAGTATTATCGTACTGAATCACTTTATCATCCGACATAACATAAGAATCGAGAAAGGCGATATTCTTCGAGAGAAGAAGGATAATTCTGATAAGTGCGAGGAGGGAGTGGTTGTAGGAAAAAACTTCCGCAACTGTTCGACTTTCCAATTTGTGCAAATGGTTTTCAATGGTACCATTAGTACAAGAAAACGGTTCTGAAAGACTACGAGTCGTTTGACAAGGATCCGACTCGTTTAAGTCTCTCAGCAGTTCACTGTCAATGATTTTTAGTCGAACGGTGTGTTTACGGTTTTCCAAGCTTTCATAGTCATTATGAAAACGTTCAAACTAGCGTACGAAACAATTTTTTATAGAAAAGCTTGTTTGAATACTTTTGAGAGAGAACTAAGAGCTTGCGCGGCATTTTTTACCAACTTAAATTTGTACCTTCCCGCGCATTTTTTGGAACGACGTTTTCTGAACGGAATTCCTAATTGAAAAAACAAAATGGCAAACGGAGACTATATATCAAACGATGCGCAAAAAAACGCTCTTTTGAAAAAAAAAGGGGGGGGGGCAACAATGTTCTCCGGATAGAGCAATACGTTCCGACAAACACGCCACTCATTATTTTTTAGCCAACCTAATAGCTGCATAAGTAAATGTAGGATTTTTTCAATTCTGAAGTTTTCGAGTTACTGAAACAAATTGGCGCCGGATGGGCACAATACCTGTTGCCCCGTCAAATCTCAAAAGTTTTTGACGTTTACGAGCTGTCATCAACCGATATGCGTTCACTTTATCCAGTTACAACACAAAAAAGTCCCAAGGTCATTAATCACTTCTTACGGATCACGAGAAACGGATAATCATACGGAAATCTTTGAAATCAACAACCATTTGTTCAAAAATTCGAAGCAAATTGAACTTTAAAGTGTCTTCCAAGACAGTAAGGCGTCCCCTTTTTGAATATCAGATCATCAAATGAAAATGAGTAAGGGAACCATTAATTGCTGATAACTATCCCTAGAAACGCGTAAAGGTATCCAGAAACAACCAGCGAAGCAAGTGGAAAGAAGTGTGGATTACGATAGACTGATATGGATTCCTTTTCATTTCAGATTATCCACAGAGATCAAAAAATTTAATTGAGATGCTCCTGACGGATATCGTAGTCACTGGCATGACATTCATAAAGAAAAACTAAGTATCAGTGGTCTCCCGTAATCCCACCTTCTTTTCATTTGCTTCGCTGCATGTTTCTGGAACCTTTACCCGTTTCTGGGCATGGTTCTCAGTAACCAATGGTATCCTTTCTCATTTTCAGACATTTGATGATTTGATATTCAAAAAGGGCACGCCTTACTGTCTTGGAAGACACTTTAAAGATCAATTTGCTTCGAATTTTTGAACAAATGGTTGTTGATTTCAAAGATTTCCGTATGATTATCCGTTTCTCGCGATCCGTAAGAGGTGATTGATGACCTAGGGACTTTTTTGTGTTGTAACTGGATAAAGTGAACGCATATCGGTTAATGACAGCTCGCAAACGTCCCAAATTTTTGAGATTTGACGGAGCAACAGGCATTGTGCCCATCTGGCGCCAATTTGGCTGCTTTCGTAATCAGCGAATAGGGTTTTCAGCCCCATTGCTGTAAAGTTCCCTGAAATACCCATATTCAATTGTTAAACATGTCAATCGATCAAAAAAATTTGTAAAAGGCCACAAAAATGGGGGTGGCCGTATCATGATGTGGAAAAATGAAAAGCCAAAAACCACAAAAATCAAAATTTCTCGATTACTCAGAATAAGTCAAATTTCTCTGGAGGACCCATGATTGTCATTTTTGGCAAAGTTTCTACACTATGAAAAAGAGTTTTCGAAGATTCCGGATAACTCTGTTTTTTGAAATTTGAGGGGTGGCCGTATGTGGAGCACTGTAGAAATAGAGAAAATCGAGTTGATTGTTAGTAGAGGGCTACCTTCTTTTAGAGTGTTTATGGTATTTGAAACCGTTTTTTTCAAATTTCCGGACCTTTGTCCTACGGTGCGAGTTCGTCGTTTTGCTCTTCACTTTTCAGTAATTAAACTTCCGAAGATTTATTTTTAACATGTTACAGATCTGCCAACCCCAAATATTTTACCGTAGACCAAATTTTAATTTGACAGATTTTTCCTTTGAGAAACTTTCCTACTATGGAAACGGAATGACATTCAAAGAAGAAAAGAGACATCGCTTCATTTATTTATGTATCATCAAAGGTTTTTTTCTAAATTTTATCAAATGTTCAATGAACGTCTTCTAGGGCAGCCATTCATCACGAGCACAGTATTGCCACGTTTCCCGTAGTGCCATTCGGTGCTAAGCTGCCACAAACTTGAGCTTCCTCATTCGGAGCAGCGGCCACCGCACATACATAATCAGCTATTCGTCGTAAACGTGAGAACGTTGAAAGACGGGCGTGCGCATGAAGCCGTCTTCGTCTTCTTTCTCTTCCTTTTCCTATTCCAGTGAATGGATTTAGTGAAAGAGTGGACGGAATAAGAGATACGTTGTGTGGGGGGAAACCCACTATTTTGTTGTTGTTGCTTACTCAATTCCGAAATTAGAGAGCTCTGATTTTCATCCGGTTTTCTTTCCAACCGTTGTGAAATTCGTTGAATTCTCTGGTATCCGCTAGATTGTTCATACATCGTCACTTTGAAGAGCACAGGTTTGTAGCAACAATGCTGTTTGTTTTTTGTACTGGTCAGATTTTATATTATTTTTAGTCTATCTCATCACGGAATTTCTTGATTATATTGTTCGAAATTCTCCATCACTAATTTGGCTTCGTCAACAAGACTCGAAGAAAAAAAACTGGGTGGAAGCACCAAGAAAAACAACTTTTTCGTTTTCTTCTTCTTCTTCTTTTTCTTTTTTCTATCCGTTTTTTCGTCGGTCTCCCCTCAATTTGACATACCCCAGACCTTTTTTTCTTTTCAATTTTCTCAGCTCTCCAGTTCTCGTCACTGTCCCTCTGTCACTTCGTTTCCGTTTGGGTTATAATTATAGTAAGAAGAGAGGAGAGAGACATGAAAATATATTACCTGCTGTTGTCGCAGTTTGAGTGAGTGAAAGAAAAGTTTGAAGAAAAAGGAGAAGCGGGGAGGAAACCACTTTAGCTTTCTTTTCTTGGACAATTTCAAGTTAGTTCCCATCCTCCCCGTACCCCACGATTTTCATTTCACCGTTTCTTTTAATTCAACCCCAGTTTCAGTTTCCAAACTTGAAATCGAATCGGAACTCCATTAGTCTTTTTTCTGGGTTTTCATTTTTTAAAACTAAATTTCCCAAACCTCAAGATGTCAAAGACTACAAAAAAGGTTCCTGTGTGTGTAAATGTTGGCTTAACGTGAGGCACACAAACGAAATCTGATACCAGATTAATAGTACTCGTGTAACATACTCTCAGCTGAATCTAGACCCACAAAAAACTTTCCTCCCCACAAATTTTTTTTCTTTTAACTCTCACAGAATATTCATCTTCATCATATCCTCACTATAATTTCTTCCATTTCTGATACAAATTATTTCCTAGTATGAACAAGAAGAAACCGGATAAGGGGTGGTAGTGTTAGTTGCGTCAAAAAAACTTTTCGCGCACAATTTCTTCTCGATGTGAGCGGAAATTTATCGGATTTGGATGAGAAAGCAATGATGTATGTGAATGTGTCCCAAGTTTTTTTTTCCTTGAGAAAACTTTTGAGCCTCCAGAAATTGTGAGAAGCTCTCAAAAAACATGTTTCCTTTTTAAGACTCTTCTGAAAATTTCTATAGATATATGTTTTTTTTCACATTTTTCTTTTTCTGTTTGTTCATTTCCTTCTGTTTTCCTCTCATTGGATGTATTTTTGTCATTCAAAAAAGAAAGGAAAAGAGGAAGATGGAAGATAGATTTATTATCCCAGAAATTTGTTCTTTTTTCGAGAATAACAAATTTAACAGGAACTTTTTAGATATGAGAAAAAATAAAGTCGGAATATTTTCTAAATTTCACAAAATAGATCATGTTCTTATAGTTTCTGACATACAGTAATCCTCCAGAAACAATTCAGTTTCCAGAGTTTATCAGGTAAAATCAATTTTGACAAAAATGTTCGGAAGAAAATTTTTGAAATTTTCTGGAATTTCGAAAATGTTGGGTTTCAAAATTTCTAAATTTTGTAAAACCTGAATAAAAGCTTCCCCGCACGATCAATTTCAAGCTCTGTTATTTCGATTCCTTTGCGGAACATCAAAAATGTGTCAACTAAGAAAACGTTTGTGAGATTATGATTTGGTCCTTTCAGAATTTCGGAATATTCCGATTTTCGAAAGTTCGGAATCCCAGAAGTTCAAAATTTTAGAATTTCGGAGTTTAACTTTTCCATCACAAAAGCGCGAAAAAAGTGAGAAATTGACAAACAGATTTCGAAAATGCAGAGAATATTTCACGTAATTCCACTCGAGAGCTACAACAAAACTTTTCGCGTGCGCCTTTGACATACCGTAGTCTAAAAAACTTTAATCTCAAAAAAACATAAATATTCCTATGGTCAGCTTCACTTCTACGAAAATTCCTATGGTCAGCTTCACTTCTACGAAAAACTGAAATTGTTAGATTTGTCAGTTTTTTAGTTTGATAGGCATGTAATTTCCAATAAATTGTACTACATCAAAAATTAGCTGTAATTCACTTTTCGTTCCTTCAAACATTTTCTCCAATAAGTTTCAATCTTGAAATTTCAAATTTGTTTTTGAAAGTGCAAAAGATTATTAGTGCAAGCAATTCCAAAATTTTTGTCATTGTTCTCAATGTACTTTAAGTGCAGAACTCGCTTGACGTAGCCGAGGAGCGCTTGTCAGAACATTTATCGTGTCATTTGGACATAGTCATTATAAATTTCTGAGTTGCATTCTCATTCTTTGATATCAACACTTAATCTGCCTTACATTTATGATCTTTTTCTGAATTCTGAGTCTGAAGCCTGACAATATGGTGTCATGCATATTGTCGCTTTTCCAATACAATCGTTGCTGTCTGTCTGAAGCTGACATAATACATTTCTAACTTCAAAACCGGAATCAAAAGACTTCTTCCCCTTGCCTCTCAACTCCACATCAATCTCAAATGCCAAAATAATGACCATCTTCGGACGACGCCGGAGATGTGAGGCGCGTCTTTATTTCCCATTTTTTGTGCTTTTTTTTCTCCCTCTTCACGTATTTATTTATCTGTGAGCTCATGTCGTCAGTCAGGCGGAGCAAACGTTATGACAGAGAAATTGAGATTCAATGTGACTCTTCTGGATAAACGAAAGACTAGGTCTTTAATGATTGCTCTGAAATTCTTTTCATCTTTTGTTCAAGTTAGGCTCTCTGTGAGCGGGAGAAAGTTTTTTGGGAAAAGTTTAGATATCGGTTTTTTCGTGGGAAGGTCATGATTCTTGGTAGAAAAAATTCATGAGTTCCTGGGAAGCTCACGTATGAATTTTTAGTTTTATGGCTTCTTCGCGAAAGATTTTTTGAAATAACCCTCAAACTCAGCTCTTTGTTAAAAAATAATCGCTTTCAATAACTTCAAAAAACATTTTCACAATTAATTTAAATCGAAAAATCGAACAAAATAATGTAATGAAACCACATATCGCATTTCCTTTGATTTAAGCCTATCACAATTGAGCTTGATTATCTTGATTCATATAAAAGATATAAAAATTTGTCAATTCAAAAAATATTGGTGATATTATAATAAATAATTTATCAGTAGACATTTTCTATATTTTTCACAAGGATCGTGATGATTGAGCTCAAATTTGACTGTTTTGCTGTGCTTAAATTAGAAGAAATATGGTAATGAACTGTGTGAAGTTGAACGATAAACTCCGACTAAAAATTTATATTATTTTTAATATATAAAAATGAAATGAAAAATATGTTGATTCATTTAGCAACAAAAAATTTAGAATTTTCAGGAAATCTTGAAAAATCGCTTTATCGCAGTCTCTCGTCCATCCCTAAAAACTTTTAAAAGGTTCTCAAATGTTATGTAAAAACTGAAATTTTTAGCTCATCGCTAAAAAGTGGCGGTGATGAAAAGTAAAGTTTTCAGTTTTGGTGGGAATTATACAAAAATTGAGAACATTCCAGAAGTTTCCAATTTTGAAAAAAAAACATTTGAATTTTGTTCGTTATTTCTGTGTGAATCTACAAATTTTATTTCACATTTTGATGTATTGAAAAAAAACAAATTTCTCAGAGTCGCCCTTTAATTTCCGTGGTTCACTACTTGGCTATTCAATTTCTCTTTTAATATCTTTTTGAAATTTCAAATTTTAAATGTGATCTTTCAAAATTACCACACTCTCTTATTTCCATCCTTGGATCTTCTTATTATATTCTCAGCTTGGGATTATCTTCCTACCTAATCAAATATTGCAAACAACTTTTTTTCACTTTTGTCATTTCTTTCCAAAAAAACAAAGAATGACAAAGATCGGAATCCTCCCTTTCAACCAATTCACTTTTTCTCATTCTCATTTTTTTTTTCGTCGTTGTTCGGTTTTTGCGCTTCTCCGTTTTTGGTCCTCTCCCGTTAATCGAATTCTGCCTTCCTTCTTCTTCTTCATTCATTCATTCATTATGTGTGCTCTTCAGAAGGCCTTAGATAACCCTCATTCCGTGTTTGAGTCCGTTTGCTTCAGTCAACCAGTCAATCGTCTCATCATCAAAAATGATGCATTTACACCGAAACGACCTTTTGACGATCGAGAGTACTTCCGCCTCAAAGCCGAGTCTCTTGTCGTCGTTTTGGAGCATCAACGTTCAGGTTCAGGTAGGAACCACAAAATATTTATTTCTCTAGAATCGAGAGAAATGAGAACGAGACGTTAATCAGTAGTGATGTCATTGTTGACAAACACATGTGTCGGCGGAGACCGCTGAGAGGGAGAGAGAGAGGAAAACAAGAAATGATCGCGAGACGAAAAGAAGTTTAGTTTTATACGCGTCTCATCCGGAGTGTATTCAAGCATCGGTGGTTCAGTGGTAGAATGCTCGCCTGCCACGCGGGCGGCCCGGGTTCGATTCCCGGTCGATGCAATTCTTTTTGAGTTTTAGTGGAATTATTTTAAACGTATTAAACAAAAAAAAGTCTGCAAAAAATTAGTTCACATGCCTTTCAAATTTTTATAACTTGAATTCAAATTACAATTGTATTGCACTTACAGTGCCGGTCAGTGAAATATACAAAAACGTGTTATTCGGTAGATTTGGATCATTTTCAAGAGTTCGACTGTCATGTTTCAAATCACTTTAAAAACTTCAGAGGCTGTAAAACAGACTTTGAAAATTTTGCATTCACTGAATTTTCAGACAATTCCTAGTTTTTCAGTTATTCGCCAATTTTGAAAGACCTCCTTTTTTCCTGTTTCTGTACTGGAAACGTGAAAAAACCAGGTATCTCTTAAAAATCGGAAAATAGCTGGAAAACTAGGCGTTTTCTGAAAATTCTGTGAATGGAGAGTTCTCAATCTGGGTCTGTTTCACATCCTCCAAAGTTTTCGAAGTGATCGGATTCATGACAGCCTAGCTCTAGAAATTTGAAAATGGTCAAAATCAGCAAGAAAACGCGTTTTCTCATGTATTTCTGACCACCACTTTATGTTTTTTCACATTTCAAAACTTTATTTCAAGTCTTAATTGTGTCGCACTCACCGTAAGCGATCTAATAGAATGCCATCTAATTTTGAGCCAATTTATCTCAATTTCTGAGAAAGATATAAAAAAGTAGTCAACTGAAAAAAACGTTTATTGTAATATCAATAATGTTTTGGCAGTTGGCCACTTTTCGAAATCTTTCACAGCAAATGAGATAAATTGGCTTGACGTGTTCACGGTATCTTGCGTTAAAACCTAGTTCTAAACACCAGCAAACTAAAATTTTCACATGACTTCAACTTGTGGTTTTGACACAAAAAATCATTAGTTTCTCTAATGAATTTCCCATTTTATCCTTCAATTATGCTCATTAATTCTCAGAACAACGAGCGTCTCGAAGACCCGAAAACTTGCTCTCAGTTCTCGCTTCCGGAGGTTGCAGCTGGCCAAGGTGAAAATCAATCTTTTCCGAATCAACGTCCAACTCGCAGTGCTTCAGGTATCATCTTATTTTTTCATTTCAAACTTTAACTTCTTTATTTCCAGTCACTGAGCTCTCGATCAAATTCGAGACTGCTCCATCATCATCAGAGCTTCCGGCCTCCTTCATGACGGATACAACCAAGGATTTACCATTGGCCAAAGAGACTGCATCTTGCCGAGTCGCTGATTGGCTCACAAATCTCGACATTAATAAGTAATCTGAGAGAAACGTCTTCATTTGATGCAATCTTCTTCTCGCGTCTCGTTTTTCACACACTTTTTTCGTTTTCCGTGAATGCCAAAAAAGAAAAAAATCACAAAAAAACCGCCCCCGCATATTCACACTCCCTATGTCCCTCGTAAAATTGTTCAACGATCTCTTAGAACTTTTTTTATGTTTCCCACGGGAATAAAGTGTAACAATTCTGTCGTAAATAAACTCATATCTTAATTGGAAAGTGAAAAGCATATTGATAGACAGTGATGAACTGTATTGTTTTTTTTCGGAAATTGGGCTTATGGCCTAGAAAATCCAATGTTCTTATGACATCAGCAAGTGAAAATTTGGATGAACATTTAATTCTTGAATGAGAGTGGGTCTTGAAATCATTCATATACGATAGCTTCTGCAAAAGTTAACGAAGTTTGAATTTTTATAGTAAACCAGCTAGTTGATGCGCCTTGAATATATTTTTCACTGATTCGTCGCTCCGCTTTTTACTTTTCCTCAAAGGGCCACGTAAATCTTATTAATTTTTCTAGTCCACAGACTGGCAAGGGACAAACAGACGCGTGAAGCGTATTATATATACACTGGACATAATTATAGGTCCACTTGACGTTTCGATATTTTTCCAAAATCTCGCGAGACATGATAAACGTTTCTGGTACTAGAACTTGAGGGATTCATTTTTCGTGTTACAAAAAATGAAAAGTGCCAATCATTTTTTAACTTTTTATTTCATGAATTTAGCCAGAAACATGTTTTTTCAGGAATGAATCTATAATTATGTCCCTTTGCACTTTTCATTTTTGTCAAAATCAAAAATCAAAAAAATTTTTCTTGAATCAAAAACGACAGACGAAAGGATATGTACAGTAACACGAAAAATGAATCCCTCAAATACTAGTACCAGGAATTTTTATTTTTATTAGGTCTCTTGATTTTTTGAAAAAATAACGGAACGTCAAGTGGACCTATAGTTATGTCCCACAGTGTAAGTAAGATAATATTTCTAAAACAAAACTATATTTTTCTGAACCACCGCCCATTTTTACTTATAATATTCCTAAAACAGTCATATTTTTCCTCGAGGAAAACTAAGATTTTTTGCTGGATGTTGCAAATCAAAAAATAACTCCTATTTCAGGGCACATTTGAGACATGAGCGTAATTTGAACTTTGAAAATCATTGACAGTTCCAACTCCTTGAACAACACAGCGCGTTTACTGAAGGTTACGGAGCCCGAAGCCATCAACTGAAAAACACGTTTTTCATAAATTTATGGCTAGCACTTTATGTATATGGATGCATTTCTTAGTAATCTCACGAAAGTTCGAAATGCGTGTCCCAGAAGAAGCTATGAAACATTCGGATCGCAACTCGGAATTCGGACAAAATGTAATTTGATATAAAAATATATCATAAAGTTGTGAGGAAAGTAACTTCCCTGTGAACTAAACATCATAAGTGCTCTACAGATTGAATTATCATCTTCCCCTAACGCTTGTCATGACACGCCCACCTGGACAACCCCTATATAAGGCCACGACAGATTCCCAAATTATCTAATCCTCTTACTATGGATTGGGATCCTTGTTTTTGATTTTCCTGAATATCTTTATATTCTCTGACTAATGTGGATTCTATATGCAACCATCTTCCACAAGCAATTAAAAGGTCGCTCATGCACCAAGGAAAGAAGGACATTTCGTCAATGTGGAATTGGACAGCCAATTTTATTTGCTTCCGCTTATGCTTAATGCAAAAAAAGCTATGGATTCCATTCCCATATCAATAGGGTACCAAAATTCAATTGGTTTTCACAAAGTAAGTAATTTGAATATCTGAAATTTGTTTAAGAATTCAATTTTGCAGACTCATGAAGAATTTCGGCAAACGATTCGGAAGACACGTAATTCTGGAAGGCGATATTATAAACATTGAGTTCAGCAAGAAAATTAAAGATGCGACGGTAATCTTCATCAACACTTTGCTGTTCGATGCTCCGTTTATGTTGAGATTGAAGATGGGAATTCTACAGCATCTGGATGAAGGCGTCAAGATTATCACGACGAAACCGCTCGGAGATCCAAAACAGCTCAATGTCAGATGAATTTGGAGGAAATTTTCATTTTGACTTTCATCCTGTTATGTTTTTTGTTATTGTTTTCGTTATGCTCTTTCATTTTCAACATATGTTTTTCGTGATAATAAAACCTGAATTTTTGGTTAGTTTTGGCTTTGAAAAGTTGTAGAAAAATTTTGATATTAGAAGGGTCTCTTAAAATTTCGAAAAAATATTTGGACTTCGAAGTGTAGTATAACTTGTTTCTAGGATATCGAAAAACAATGTGGGAAAACGAAAAATTCATTACTTTGAAATTTCTGCAAAATATGAAACATGCTTTAATTTCACATATATTAAGAAACGTCAAAATATTCCAAATTAAAATTTGCCAAAATTTAAAATTGAAGAATTTTAAAAATGTAATGTCTTAGGCGAAGTCGGGAAGGAAATTCTGTTTGTAGCCAGCCATGAAGAGCATGTGAAGGGCAATGTGAACACAGTTTGCTTTGGCAAGCTCCTTTTTTTGTGCAAAGACCAAGAGCAGGCAGATGAAAACCAAAGCTTCAATGATCCGAAATTCCACGAAGAGCTTATCAAACCTTCAGTAACAAACTGCACCATAGTCAAGAAAGCTAGATGAGAGACAAGTCCACAATGAATTGATGTTCCAGTGAGTCCAAGACTAAAAAAACTAACAGTACGTGAAAAAATGTGTTCCTAGTATCTTACTGTCGAAATTATAGCTGTTTTCATTGACTTCATTCTGTTGACACAAATCGCATGTTGGTTAAGAAGTTTGGGATAACAGACTCGACAGCCTTCAAGAAGGACATTCCGGCTTTGAATGTATAAGGTCGCTATTAATTGGATAGGTTAGCATAGTCTGAAAACAAGAAAACATTTTTAATTTAATAATCATTTACTCACACTATTTAACCCTACTTGGATGAGGGAGTAAACTGGTACTTTGAATAGAGCCTTCTTCTTGTAGAGTGAGATGATGGTGGAAATCATCCCGAAAACAGCGGCCAAGATAAAAGGTTGTACACGACGGTTATGGGGAGCGAATGTTCCGATGCTTCGGCGATTGACGTGATGAAGAGAGATGACAGGGAGAGGAAATCTGTAAAATGGGAAGAAATATATATGTTGCACTTTAGAATCATTTATAGTTTGAACACTCCCTTTTTTCTTGTATAAAAATTTAGACACAATTGAAAAGTCAAAATTTCGATTCTAATTGCAAGTGTGCCAAGCGGGTATGGCCAAAGATTTTAGAACGAACAGGCTAGCCTGGAATTATAAAGGATCAAAACGACAGACTAGATCTAAACCTGCTAACTCCATTTAGAGTTTACTGGATGGCTGTTTCTGATTATTTCGTGAGTGTTTCATTACTTAAGTTAACTAGGTAGCTAATGGTTCACACTTCTTCACTCACCTTGACATCTTCACTCACCTTGACAATGGATGAAATGGAATACTTCCGAAGCAAGTAATTATTTTTTAGGAAAATATAAGAAAATTGGAGACGTCCATTCAGTAGGTCGTCTGGTGAATAATGAAAGACAAAGAAGCTCAACCTTGATGGTCAGCCTTTGGCTCCGCCCACGTGTTCATATCAAGGAAACAACAATGACCCAATTACATAAGATTTTCTCCACAGTAAATTACCAGTCGGTTTGAGCCCCCTATCGGGGGCTCAACCTCCTGGTTTTCGTTCACTGTATCTTACACTTGAATTTCTAAAGTCTAGATTTTCCACTTTTCCGAGTGCCTGAAACTTCCAAGTATTTCGATTTTTAAATTTTGGATGTTAATAATATGGGAATTTCTAGATAAAGTAATTTCTCCAATAGAAGCCCACATCTATTTGATGCCCACCTCTGAAAAAAACAGACGTACTTTTTTTTCATTTTTCTGATAATTTCTGTTTAATCTTGTCGCTTTTTTGAGAAAAAAGGTATCCGATTTTCTGAATTTCCGAGTTTCTACATGACAGAACACATGGGAATACAATTGTTTGAATTGTTTGTCTCGAATTTCTAACCTAAAACCCTTAATTGTCGAATTTCTGCATTTCCGAGTTTTTTAAATACTCGGCTTTTCCGAATTCCTGAAATTTTGAATTTCCCACATACATCAATATTTCTAAGCCTTTGGTTCGAGATCACAATGAAAGTATAGAGAAAATGTTGCAATATTTTTGTAGAGAAAGCTAAAATTTGAGAAAGTTCGAGACCCTCCTGGAATTTTTTGGAATATTCTTGAACTTTTCTAGAGCTTTCATGAATGTTTTGTGTCTTTTGGAGTTTTCTGGAATGTTCTCGAACTTTCTGAAATTTTCTGGAACTTTCTGGAATTTTCTAGCATGTTCTAGAATGTTCTGGAAATTCCTAGGATGTTCTGGAACTTTCTAGAACGTTGTGGACTTTTCTGGAATTTTCTGTAATTTTTTAAATTTTCTGGAATTTTCTAGCATGTTCTAGAATGTTCTGGAACTTTCTGGGATTTTCTAGAGTGTTCAGGAATTTTCTAGAATGTTCTGGAATTTTCTAGAATGTTCTGGACCTTTCTGGAATTTTCTCTAATTTTTAAAATTTTCTGGAATTTTCTAGTATGTTCTAGAATGTTCTAAAATAATCTGGAAATTCCTAGAATGTTCTAGAACTTTCTAGAATGTTCTGAAACTTTCTGAAATTTTTTGCAAGTTTTTGAAATTTTCTAGAATTTTCTGGAATTTTCGAGCATGTTCTAGAATGTTCTGGAACTTTCTAGATTCTTCTGAAACTTTCTGGAATTTTCTAGAGTGTTCTAGAGTCTTTTGAAATTTTCTAGAATGTTCTGGAACTTTCTGGAATTTTCTGAAACTTTCTGGAATTTTCTAGAATGTTCTGAACTTTTTTAAAATTGTCTGGAATGTTCTAGAATTTTGCGCATAACTTAAGAACCTTGTATTCTGTAGAAAATTACTATGACCCATTTCCAGTAGTCCACAGGATCGAAATTTACGAAAAAAAAGGAATTAAAAAATTTTTAAGTTTTGAAGATTTGTGCTCAATTTTATGTAGGCAACACATAGATAGACCAAAAAACCGCTTTGCAAAATTTCATGAAGTTTTATTGAGTTTGAGCATAGTTTTGAAATTTTCGATTCTCAACACTGTAGCTTCCCTGTTAGCTAGAAGGCCCAGTACACCATAGACATGAAGCGCTCGGCAGTCCATGACTACATACTACATACCACTATAAGAGTCCCACGTCCCTTTGAGTTATTCAAGTAAATGTCCGAGACGGACACACACACACACAGAAAAGTTTCCTTAGTAAGAAGTAGATTACTGTTTTCGAACCACTGTTAATTTAAAAATTTGAACCATCTCTTGTTTATTGTGTACTCTTGCAGCTCCGCCCACTGTAGACATATCAAGAATGCTACGCCAATTATGACGGTAATTCACACCTAATTATGACGTTTGCCCGACCATAATCTGTTATTGTTTTAAAACCGCCTAATTTTGAGCCATCACTTATTTACTCTTCCCATTGAAAGCAGATGGTCAAGAGTATGTCAAAGCGTGTCAGGTAACAGTGTGGGCAGTTTCTCTAATCATTGAAAACAAAAGCTGAAGACAATCATTTCAAGGAATCTAAATTCAAAAATCCAGCTGTTCGAAAATTCGGAAATTCAACAATTCAGAGGATTGAAGTTTGGAACACAATATCCATAAACTCAGAAACTCTAGGTAAGACAACTCAAATATTCAAAATTTAGAAATTCTTAATTATAAAGATTAGAATTTCGAAATTCAGAAATTTTGAATTGGAAGATTCTAAATTCTGAAACTCGGTAATTCTAGATGTATGAATTCAAGTTCGAAAATTCTAAATTCGATGATCAACTGTCTTTTTCGAAAATTCCAACGTCCAATCAGTGATAGAACTAAATGGAGTAATATATCTTATATTTTTCTTTTTTCGTTTCTTTTTTGTATACCATTCCGCTTCCGCAGAAGAAACATCCGTCAGACGATATTTGACCAACTATTAAACGGCTGCGCCTGGAAGGTCTGGATCAGAATTTGAAAACTGTGTATCCAATTTTCAGATTTTGGCATCTTTTCGAATTAACGTGCTCGCTACAAACGTTTATGCAGATGAATGAGTTTATTTAGAAATCGGAAAATATTTGGCAGGCTAAGCTTTACATTCCTGGGAGGTTATTGTAAAGCTTATTGCATCCACTGGTGACAAATTCTTGAGTCTTAGTTGGAGTGGTTTTCAAACAACATCTGAATTTGTTTCCAGTCATACACGATCCATCGTAGACAGCAGCACAGTTATGGACACAGAGGTTGTAGCAGGTTTGGTTGGAGGCAAGGGCATAACTGTTCCATGGAGCACAATTGTCATAAGATGCTGCTCCTTGGACAGAGGAACAGTATTGTTGGCAGATGACCAAGGTGACAGAGGCAGCAGTAGAAAAAAGACAGAAGGCAAGAAGGACACGGAACATCTGAAAATGTTCGTAGATTGAAAGTTATAGGCAGGAAGAAAAATGGACTTACCATATTGATTGTTGTCAGATAAACTGATGAGGATCGGTTTCATAGCTGGCTTTTTATACGTGTTCTGATGGCTGGAATATGTTTGTATAAAAGTTTCTTTAACGACATGAATCCTGAGCACGCCGAAAGTACACAAAAAATCTAGAGAAATAGACATTCAGTTTTCCGGAATACCATCTGCCCACGGATTTTTTCGCGACACCTACGCATGCCAGCTCGAATTTTGTTACTGATCTTTTTAGAATTTGAAGCTTTCAAATATATTAAAAACTAAAGTTATGTGGGCGCGAATATGGATGCGTTGAGGAGACATAGACAATCATGTTTCCAAACAAAATATGGTTGAGCCACTCCGATTGAATACAATGGAATGCGTGTATTTTCATGGAGCAGATGAAAAAAGTTGAAGATACTTTAATATAACATGAGCAGCTAATTTTAATATATACTGGGCTGTTTCATGCATGTGCTCACTTACTACTTCAAATGGATCCTTTCCCAACGACTTGCATCATAAACCTTCGCGCATCCCACATGACACCCACATACAGCATCCACATCGGACTTTATTCAAATTTTGATACGGATCTTCATGAAAAAAATGTCTCATCCACAGTTGTGCCCCTGCTTTCACAATATTGAATACTCCCACATACATATTTCTGTTTACTTGTCAGATCCTCTTCGACTTTTTCACAAAGGATCCATTTGAAGTAGTAAGTGAGCACATGCATGAAACAGCCCAGTATATATTAAAATTAGCTGCTCACGTTATATTAAAGTATCTTCAACTTTTTTCATCTGCTCCATGGAAACACATGCATTCCGTTGTATTCAATCGGAGTGGCTCAACCATATTTTGTTTGGAAACATGATTGTCTATGTCTCCTCGACGCATCCATATTCGCGCCCACATAATTTTAGTTTTTAATATATTTGAAAGCTTCAAATTCTAAAAAGATCAGTAACAAAATTCGATCTGGCATGCGTAGGTGTCGCAAAAAATCCGTGGACAGATGGTATTCCGGAAAACTGAATGCCTATATCTCTAGATTTTTTGTGTACTTTCGGCGTGCTCAGGATTCATGTCGCTAAAGTCGCTAACTTTCATACAAACATATTCCAGCCATCAGAACACGTATAAAAGGCCAGCTATGAAACCGATCCTCATCAGTTTATCTGACAACAATCAATATGGTAAGTCCATTTTTCTTCCTGCCTATAACTTTCAATCTACGAACATTTTCAGATGTTCCGTGTCCTTCTTGCCTTCTGTCTTTTTTCTACTGCTGCCTCTGTCACCTTGGTCATCTGCCAACAATACTGTTCTTCTGTCCAAGGAGCAGCATCTTATGACAATTGTGCTCCATGGAACAGTTATGCCCTTGCCTCCAACCAAACGTGCTACAACCTCTGTGTCCATAACTGCGCTGCTGTCTACGATGGATCGTGTATGACTGGAAACGGATTCAGATGTTGTTTGAAAACCACTCCAACTAAGACTCAAGAATTTGTCACCAGTGGATGCAATAAGCTTTACAATAACCTCCCAGGAATGTAAATCTTAGCCTGCCAAATATTTTCTGATTTCTAAATAAACTAATTCATCTGCATAAACGTTTGTAGAAAGCTCTCTAATTTAAATATATGTCGATTTGGGAAATCTGAAAATTGAATACACAGTTTTCTAATTCTGATCCAGACCTTTCAGGCACAACCATCTGATAGCAGGGTAAATATCATCTGACTGATTTTTCCTCTACGGAAACAGAATTACATTCAAAGAATAAAAGAAAAAAAAAAAAAGGTACATTTTTCCATTTATTTTTTTATCACTGATTGGACGTTGAAATCTTTGAATAAGACAGTTGATCATTGAGT